GTGGGGGAACCGCATGCGGGCTGTGCCACTGGGACCTTCGGTGGATCTCCCTATGGGGCTACGAAACGTGTGAGGGGTGTGCCGAGAGCAGAGGCAAGGAGCAGCCTGGGTGTGCCGTGGGAGGGGGCAGCGGGAGGAGAAGGAGACGCGGGGCACCGTCTCTTCAAAACGAGGACCCAACACCACAGGATGGTTGGGAAAAACGCCATAAACATGACGCTCCGCGCGGATGTCTTGAATCTGCGCTGAGACCCCTGCCCCTGGCGCGCAGGGGCGGCACCCAAGCCGCCGCCGGCGGGGCCCAGCACGTATCCAAGAAATCCGCGCGGAGCGCCAAAAGTTTATGTTTATGGCGTCTTTTCTTCTTCGACTGACGAGCGGGCCCTGGCTGCCCTCGCCGACCACCTGCCACCCTCCCGCGGGGCCGAAAGAGCGGGTGCCGGCGGACCGTGGACGGACTGGCGCGGCCACAGGCGGACACCACCTCGGAGGGGCAACGATAGGGGGGGCGGGCTGGCCTAGGGGGGGCGCATCGACTTAGGATCGGCGATACATCGTCAATTGATCGGCGAGAGGCCCCTGATTCAGTGAATCCGCACGCCGCTGGGCAGGTTGGGGCTATCGGGCCCCTATCGGCGATCAATGGGCGATTGGGGGTCGATGTGTCCCCCCCTATGCCTATCCCCCCCCCATCGTCGCTTTCTTGGCGCAGTGGTGGTGCGATCTCGGGTACCCAGCGCTCTCCAGGCAAGGACTGCCTCGCGCTGGGGACTTCAGCGCGCGAGGCCCTCCTGCAGCGCAGCCCTTCTCCCGGGCCTGCGGGCGACTCACGCCCAGGCCCGGAAGCGAAGGCTGGCGGCCCCGGGCACTTCTCCGCCGGCGGCCCCCACGGGCCCCCCTCTCGTGGCAGCGATGGCGTACGCGCGCCCGCGCGTGCCCCCGAGGCGGCGGCCGCCTCCAGCGGCTCGCAGGCGCCCGTCCCTGCCCCGCAGGCGCCACCGGCCTCCGTCAGCAGCGGCGCCCGGTGGTCGGCCCCGGGCTCCCGGCCGCAGGCCCCGGCTCCGGTGCCACAGCGCTAAGGGGCCGCGGCTCATATACCCACTCCCCTGCGGGCCCCGGGCAGACCCCGCTGACCCGCAAGACCCAGCGGACCTGGCGGACTCGGCGGACCCAGCTGACCCGGCTGACCCGACGGACCCGACTGACCGGACTGACCTGGCGGACGCGGCGGACCCGGCGGATGGCGGTCCCAGCGGACCCAGCGGGCCCGGCGGACCTGGCGAACCCCGTGGACCCAGCGGAGCGGGCAAGACAGCTGACGACCCACCACCCTCTTGGTTCCTCCCTCTCATCCGCCACTACGGGGTCGATGTACTTTCATGTTGTGCTGCAGTAGGAGGCCCTGTTGGAGGCTGGCGGGCGAGATTCGTTCGTACGCGCCTGTGCACTTCCTGCATCCGTACTTCGTTCGCACGATCAAAATTAACTAGTTTGTGGAGGGAGATACTTCGCTCGTTCGGCAGGAGAAGGACCCGGAGGGGAAGCTCAGCAAACGAGGCGAGTGAGTACTCGGCTGTGGGGTACTTGCACGCGAGTTATGTTCGTACGGTGATAGCGAGGTGCTGCAAGGGGATGCCTACCGCGTTCGGCAGCGGAGAAATGAGCCTGGGGCGGAGCGAACAGCAAATATAATTTGATAGTTCGAGCGGCGGTCGCGAAGTACGTGAGAAGTTCGTACCGGCTCCTGGAAACTTCTCTTGGAGCGTGCATGGCGAGGCGAGGCAAGGCGAAGCGAGGCGCCAGTCAATCGTCACGGGGGACGGCCCTACGAGAGCCCGGCGGTGGCGCCGGAGCACCGAAAAATGTCTACGCGAGGAGGAATGGAGGTAGAAGGGGGGGACTCAGCATGTCAAGCTGGCGAAGCGGGGGAGGGGACGAGGCGAACGAAGTATGTATGGTGACCTCGCGAGAATGTGGACCTATGAGGGACTGGGCGCGAGGAAGAGGGGTCAAGCGCTCCAGGTCAATTAGCATGCGGCTGTGCCGCATACCTGTGTGCGTACATCGTTCGTGCGATCGAAATTCGTCAGTTCGCGGCTGCGGCATCTCTATATGCATTCGTCGGTCGGTCGACGGCAGCAATCGAGCGGAGGGTCGTCTCCCATACTTCGTTCGCTGGCAGAATGAGGGATCGTGGCCCAACGAATAAGCTCGTCGTTGGGGTATTCAGGTCGGGGACCGCGACAAACATCACGTAGTTAGTCTATGTATCCGGAGAAGAGCGGGCTGAGCCCAGTGCGTGTAAACGGTCATCGGTGCGGCCGCGCGATTGGAAGGAAAGTGAGCGCGGTCGAAGTGGGTTGATGCGCCGGCGACGGGTACCTGAACGAATACTTTGCTCGTGTGTACGAGTGAGCAAGGTATGTGGGTTCCCGTGCGAGCGTCGGTCGCGAGGTGTTGATACCTCCTTCGCTCGCGAGAGGCTCGGCGGAACAGGGTG